GAAAGGGGGGGGGGGGGAATCAAGCAGCAGCGTTTGTATGTATACATGCTAATATATCATAATAGCATAAAGAATAATTAGTGTCTGCTAAAATCTGCCATCATAAACCTATGTTTACCATAAAGTGATCACTAATTGCAAAAAAGCAACGCATTATAGTACTTTGCTTAATTGAAATATTGTCACTCAATGACAAGTTGTTTTAAAATGAGCAATTGTTCCACGTGCTGTGGTAATTGTTTAAATTGGGCTTATTTTTTTTTTAATTTCAGATAATATTTTAACTGGACAAAACACTCAATTATGCTACACAGAGTTAATGGCATCTATAGTCAGACGAGGAGATCGCATGAGGCATGGTCGGAACAAAGAAAAACCTATTAGGCGCCCCACACACTAAAGTAAAGGACCAAGAGCCCGGCACTGCCAGCCTAGCTCCATGTTAGCTTACCTATCGTCGGACAACGACATTTTAGCTTTTAGTGGCTTAAAAACAAGCATCAATTACTTCTACCCGCGCACTGATTGCAGGGTGACAGTTTGAAAAAGTCAAGGTGGGAAAATGTCAAGTTCTTACCTAGCTGGAGGACCGTAACGTAGTGGTCGCCGACGTTTGGCTGCACGATTATGAGCGAAATATTCACACGCTCTACTGAGGCTGCGCCGAATAAGTAGGCGGTGCCACAGAGGGGTCGGAAGTGACATTTTATGCTCGCCCGTGGTTGAAGTTCGCAGCCCTACTAAACCATGTATATTTACCTTCTGTATCTGGTTCTAATTATACGAAAGCTGCTGAAACGTTGAAATTGTGTTTATTTAAAAAATTAAACATTTGTTAGTTTTATTTTGTACCCCTGACATTTTTCTTTCGTTTTTACAAATATATTTAGTACTTGTATTATTATGATTATTTCTACTTATTTCCGTTAAATTCGCTGTCTGACTTGTATTCAATTATTTCTGTGTGATGTTCGTGTATGCGACTTGCGATTTGTTAATGAATTTTAAAATAATCACAGCCGTGGGACCCCACACTTCACTGTACACTAACAGATGTATTTTCACCCAAACACGGGGTCATTTGAAAGCTGTAATAATTACAGTATCTGATAGCATAAGTTACTCGTTACACAACCATTTTCATATGTTGTGCATCGCACTGTCCATTTTGCTGAGGCCCTGACAGTGAAGGCGTGGACCGGCTCTGACCGTAGTGCATTGTTGAGCTCTTACTTTGAAGGGAAAGACGTAGCCATTGTTGCTAGTTCCGGTTAGCTAAACTAAAGCTTGTTATGTTGACACCGGGCTTTGTCATCTCTGGCTCGAAGGTAAATTAACTTGTTTTCAACAAGTCATCGACTGTACATATCTGTGCGCTGGTTACGATACAGTTTTTATCTTTTCTTCCAACCCATTTTTATGATTTAATTTCTTGTGGCGTTAGCTTGTATGCATATCAAAACAAAAGGTTTTGGGTTTTTTTGCGGTCGTGGTGGTCATTGTGGTCGTGATGATGGTGGTGGGGATTGTTAATCAATTTTTTTATTACATATATTTTCTGCTTTGTCCGACCTTCTCACTATAAAAATGGATCCAGCGTGCCAAAGTGTGATAAAGACAAAATGTAACCGGGGGTATTCTTTCGTTTATAAAAGCAAGATGAAGAATAGTTATAAACGTTTGTCACGGTCGATATGTTTGGTTACTTTTCATGTTTACAAATGATTATTTGACCCCCCCCCCCAAAAAAATCGTATCCCCTGTTTACAAATGATTATTTGACCCCCCCCCAAAAAAAATCGTATCCCCATTCGTCAGCTGAAACTTAATTTTAACATTGCTTCTTTATAGGCACATATTATTCAAAAGATACAATGATATTAATCACTGGTTTCTGAGGTAAGACGTTCTATTTTTCTTTTCTCTGTAACAGTTTCTAAATTCTGCTTAAAACGTTTTACTTGAAATGCTTTCAATTTTCTTACTATACTCATAATTAAGAAACTACATGTTATGTTCCCGTTTTCTCAGGGTACTCAAGCTTCCTCCCACATTCCAAAAGGTTCCGTAAATTGAAGACTCGAAGTTGCCCATCGGTGTTCAAGTGAGTGTGGCGACCAGTTCAGGGTGTACCTTGCATCTCCTCCAGTTTTCTGGAATTTGCTCCATCTCACCTGGGACCCTGACGAGGACCAGTGATATAGAAAATGGATGAAAGGAAAGTCAAGTTCATTTCTGTAGCCCCTGATTACAAAAGAGCCTCAAAGGATTTCACACTACCACTGTTCACAGCGATTAACATTGTCTGTTTTACTTTGAAAAACTCCCATATCGGGCACGGAATAACTTAACAAGTCAAGTCAACTTTATTGTCAAATATGCTCTATGTGCAACATAAAGCACAGATGAAATGTCTTTCCTCTCAACCATAGTGCAACCACAGGAGAGAGAGGAGCCGCTGCGGGTACCCGCGCCGCCATCAACAGAACAGTTAACATAAAATGACAAAATAATACAACACAACCCATAAGACACAGACAGTCATGCAATCTTAACCACTTTTTCTGCATACACTTTGTTGTTTGAAGTCCAGTTATAGATGAAAGAGGAGAGAATCAAAGTGTCCTTTCACCAGTGGATCAGAGACGTCATGCTCAAAATGTGCACAACATTTGGGTGAAATTAGAGGAAGAAACCTCGAGAAGGGATCACAGGATGAACAGGCTGCGATGGTGTCGTGTAGGGTATGAAGCTGTTCTATGTAAGTTAAAGCATTATGAAAGTCAATTTGCTGAAATGAAGCACACTAGCAGACCTCTTGGGGAAAGTGGTTGTTCCTCAGGACCTGGCGGGGTCAATCGATGCAGAATTTTCCACAACGTCTACAAGGAAGACCTTGTCCTTCGGTTGGAAGCAATTAGAGTAGAGAATAGAAGCTAACATAGAGATGATTATGCTGTTTGTTTTATGAAATGCCTTAAAATCATTAGCCATAGTGTGACATTTATCGCAATTTATGATATATTGTGTATGCTGTGCTTGGTTTGACAGTCAGCTACCCCTCTGCCCATGAGAAAAGAGATACTGCACGACCACCAGAGTCACCTCTGATTTAAAGATTTTAGAATCATGGCGACCTCAGAGGAGACGGATCAACAAGGCTCTCCAGCCCAAACATCAGCAGTTTTGGTTCCTGATACATTTCCTTCAGATTTTACACAACAGCAGGGCAGAGCTCTATCCTCTTCGGAGCACCCAACAACAGCAAAGCCATTTTGGGCTCCTCTTGAAACGGATGCCCCGGTCACATTAGGTAGGGATGTCTCCTCCTGAGTGAAGAAATAATAAGAAAATGCTGTTCTCTGTGGGTTTTATGTGGGTTCTCTGAATTTTTACCACAAATTCTTATTATTGGTGAAGTTTGAATAATTAATTGCCTCAGAATAAGATAACCTTTATTTGTCCCACACTGGGGAAATTCAAAATTCAGCAGCAAAATTGGGGTGGGGGGTGGTAAGGAAGAAAAAAAAACAAAGTGTTGCATGCATAAAATAAATAAATGTTTCAGAAAAACAACTGTATACAGTATAAATATAAGTTGCATAAGAAGGAGAAATAATCTGCCTGTGGTCAGCCATAGGGACTAAATTTACTTGATCCAGTGCAATGAAAATGAATCACTTAATTCTGTCAATATTTTTTCTACATTATTAGAGATGTCAGGAATTACTGAGATGTTTTTCCACACGAACAGCTTTGCTGATTCATTGAAAGTGTTTTAGCCGAAATGACAACTGAGGTTGAGGCACAACAAAACTTCTGACGTAAAATTAAGTGAAGTGGCCTCAGTGTACTACTGGTTCTTCTTGAGGAATATGAGCATGTCAACATTACAGTCCCATCTTTATTTATATAGCGCTTTCACAACATGCCTAGAAGACGCACAACTCCAAATTCGGACTTATGATAGAAAACGTTTGAACTAACACAGAAGCGTTCGCAAGGTGTGTTAAAAGTCTCTCTCTCTCTCTCTCTCTCTCTCTCTCTCTCTCTCTCTCTCTCTCTCTCTCTCTCTCTCTCTCTCTCTCTCCATCTCTTTCTTTCTTTCTTTCTTTCTTTTGGCTCTCTCTCTCGCCAGTGACAGATGAACCGTGATATACGTATAGCAGGGGACCATGAGTATAGTGCTCTCTATTCTGTCTCAGTACTTCGATTGACTGGAAATGTGTGCCACCTCTGTATTTATTTTCTATTCATCCATATGATACTATTCACTAATCAGCCCCTCCCCATTTTGCAGCTTCAAACAACAACAACAACGATGAGGTCCACATTTGCCAGCTTTGTAGCAGCTGGTATGAGACACGTAAAGGTCTGTGCAGTCATGCTCGCTCCCATCTGCAACAGATGGGAATCCCTGACATTGACATCAAGGGCGACCCAATTGACTTCCTATACCAGATCATGAATGACCAAGACCTCAAGTCCACCAGGAAGCAGCAACAGGAGCCTTTACCCACAAACAGTCGGCTCGGGACTCCCACGAAACGTCCCTCAGGGCTGTCCCCTCCACCCACATCTCCTCCCTGTAAACGGCCAAAGCCCCCTGAGGAGTTCACTTGTATTCTTTGCGGGGAGGTATGTAAAAATCGGAAAGGCCTGGCTAGCCACTCACGGTCTCACCTGCGACAAATTGGGGTTCTTGACCTGCTGGGCAAGGATGAGTCCGCTATCGATACTGTACAAGAATTGGTGAGCAGTGGCGTGTTGGAAGCCGCACGCCCCCTAAAAATGAACAGCATCACCAACTCCTTCGCAGCACCCACTTCAGCACCGACCTCTCCTCTGGCCTCCCAGCCTCTGTCCCCTGTCACAGGGCAATCCAGGCCATCTTTTCCCTCCACTTCATCAAGCCTTGCAAAGTCTCCTCAGAGCCCAGTGAACCGGGCCCCAAAGGCTAAGAAAGGCTTTCGTCTGGCAGTGGACCCCCTCCTCAGAATGCCCAAGCCTGAGCCGTTGGAGGTTGATGTGTCTGTAGTGAGCGGAGCCAGCTCAAGCAGTGCAAGTACTCCCCCACTGAATTTATCTGCCCCTGCAACTCCTTCCAAGGCTCTCAGTGCAGGTAACACTCAAGAGTTGTTTTGCGAATTCATTTTTTGAAACATCATGACTTTTCTTCTTCGCATGCCCCACAGATGAACTCGCGCCACCCACGGTCCTTTGTGACTACTGCGGTCAGCTTTTCGAGACTCGCAAAGCGCTGTCGTGCCACGCCCGCGCCCATCTGCGCCAGCTTGGCCTCACCTGGTCCATCAAGACGTCGCCGATTGATCTCCTCAATGACATTATGATGCGCGGTGACGACAGGTTTTTGTCCGAGGTGTCATCATCCGGGAAAATTCAGGGTAGTCCTCAAGGTTCCAAAAGGACATCAGAGACATCCCACCAGGCGATCTCCAACCTGTGCTCCTCACCTCTGGATTATTCAATGAAAGACAAATCTCCATCTTACAAGAGTGAGACATTGACCTGGGGTAAGAAATCAGTGACACTTTTTAGTGAGAGTAACAGTAATGAAAGTGTGTTTCGGACATGTATGCCTAATATACCTGATGGCCGTTTGAACTTCTTTATCTTGTTTGCTTTTGTTATTTTTTAGGCAAATCCTGTGAGCTTTGTGGCTACACGTTTGAAAACCGCAAGGCGCTAGCCAGTCACGCACGGGCTCACCTTCGCCAACTGGGCGTGCTTGAATGGAAATCGGAAGGGGCCACCTCACCGATTGAACACCTAAGGGAGTTGATACGGAAGGACCCGGTTAAGGTGGCCGCTGTCACCCGTCGCTATCGCGAGGGAGACCTCAACATCAAGAAGGTGTGCTGTTCGCTGTTCATTTCCTCACAGCCTAGAAATGCACAATATAGATATAGATATGCATTGAGGATTGAGAGGAAAGAAATTTCATCTGTGCTGTATGTTGTACATAGGGCATATTTGACAATAAAGATGACCTTGACCTTGATATCGACAAGTGCATTGGGACGCATGACAAGGCCTTCTACATACAGTGGTGTCAATAAAAAATTTTTTGTTGTCCCATTAGTTATAGTTTCTCACAGACGGCGGTTATCAAGACCATAGAAATGTATACAGTATGCACCTCAACTTATGATAGCATATTTGTAATTTCCCCAGTATTTGATTATTATGTATAATCATCATGGGATATTGTTGCATGCAAAAAAAAAAAGTCATGGCTATTGTTTAATTATGTTGAGAAGAGATTGGAAGGACTAAAGCATTCCTGTTTAAAAAAAAAGCTTCCTGTGAAGAAAAATTGCAATTTTCTGCCTAAGATAGCAAGTAAAAGAAGTAGAATAGATAGAGAATCATAATCTTTTTATTTGTAATGTACATACACATGCGTGAAGTTTGACCTCTGCATTTCAGACATCGCAGTTGTGGATGCAGCAGACATAGTAGACATACTTTATGATTTTTGGGGGCACATAAACTGACGTGTGAAACTTTGGAGTTTGACACTGCTCTTCTACGTGACGTTGTAGTGTCAATGTGGGAATGTGTGTTCATTTGTCCAGAGGATCACGTGTGAGTACAGAGGTCATGAATGTTGGCTCGCTATCTTTGGCCTGGTTCTTCCCAAAGGTGTTTGATGGCCTTGAGGTCAGGGCTATTGTGTTCATGTACACGAAACTCATCCAAGCATGGCTGTGCAAAAGTACAGGGGTGGAATTGTTCAAAATGTTTTTGGAAGAGGAGGAATTACAATTCAGGGGGGTGGTTGAGCCCACCCGTTGATAATAACTAGACAGCATGTTTAACTTGAAATCATTTTGAAGAACTGTGTATTAAAATATTGCTTTCATTTTGTCTTTATCCCAGAAAATTGTTTCACTATCCACTTTGTCGGATTCTGAATCGTTGCCCGGCAACAACCTGAAGTTTGCAGGACATAAATTGGGCAAAGATGACCAGGGTGTCTCTGCTGGTTCATCCAAACAAACACAAGGGCACATACACTCTGTGGCAGTGTGTGGCAGTACTGGCGTGCGCTCTCCAAGAGGTGAACAAAAACAACAGAAAGATAGACAGTGTAGGCCTTCTGTAGGTCCTAACACCACTTTTGTGTTTCCCAGCATTGGCGCTTCCAAAACAAATTTCACGAACAGGAGAAGAAAACCAAGACACCAACTTGCAGCAACCATCACGAACTGGAAGCATCCCGGCTCTGCTGCCCAAACCTCCATTAACTCCATTGGTCAAACTGGTCGGAAAAGTTTACTCACTCAAGTGCAGGTCAGTAAGTTGACTACTGGATTTGTCAGATTGAATTGTTTAAGAACAACCACTGTCTAGATCAGGGGTGTCAAACATACGGCCCGCGGGCCGGAACCGGCCCGCAAGGAGGATCAATTAGGCCCGCAGGATAATTTAAAAGTGAAAAAAATGCATTAAAGACAGAATTAATATTTTTAATAAGGTGCAATTCATTGAGTATCCGCAAGGGGACACTGTTTTGATCAGAGAAGAAGACAACAGCAGCCTCAGTCCGTCACTGTGACAGACCCATGACAGCAGACGCTATCAATAGCACTCTCACATTTACACATTTAATAGCACTCTCCTTAGTTTGTAAGATTACATTTAGATTTTATATGCACGTGTAAATGGTTTAAAACTTCCTTTCTTTATGAATCTCGTTTAATCTTAAAGTGCATTACTATATTTTTCAATACCAATTACTTGTTAATGTTTGTACAATCAGTGGGATCATTTGCAATGCATATATGTGAATGATAAAAGTAAATTGCACATTTGTCGAAGGAAATGTAAGGTGCTTCATGAAATATTTTGTAAAAGATATGTTCATTAAATTTCAACATTTTCCTAATGTTCTTGTGCTTCTTTATACCAAAACAAAGGAAAGACATTGTTTTGGTTATTTATAGCAAAGTATGGTATCATTTTAATGGTCCGGCCCACTTGACATCTACCGAGGCCGTATGTGGCCCACCATGTGAAATGAGTTTGACACCCCTGGTCTAGATAAAAAAATAGTCGTGTTAAAAACTAAGGAAAAATAAGTATAATAAAATACTATAGAACGCATATGGGATGTAATCTGTGAATCTAACAGCGGTTGTTAAGAATAAAGTGGATTGTATGGACTGTTGATGGTTGATTGATGTCAGCGATGGCAAGTTGAGCTTCATCTGCTTGGATCCTTTACTCCGCTTCCATGTTCAGAGCATTCAGAGAGACGTGCTATTAAAATGGTGTGTGTGTGGGGATGTGCGGGGAATCACCATTATGATGAATATAATAATATTAAGCTCTTTTTTTTTTAATATCGCAAAAAGTCAAGGAACTTTTGTCATGTTGGCCTATAATGGCATTGGGTTGGCCGGCTGCCAGTCCAGTTTACTCCGCCTTTTGCGACCTCGAAATATGCTCCAGCTCACCTCTGTCCAGAAATGGGATAAGTGGTAGAAAATGCAAAGTTGTTCAAGGTTTTTGTGAATTTCCAAGTGATGTAGTGTGATACAATTTCATCATGCAATTTCTATATCACTTATCCTGTTCAGGATTTAGGAATTTTAATTTACAATTCTTTAGATTTACATATGACTAAAGAAGCTTAGTTCTTTAAATCTGCTGCATTGGGATTTAAAATCAAATGTGGATTTTGCTGTGTTGGTTGGTACTTAAGGTGATAGCGTTTTATTGTTGTAGTTTCATTCTGCTTCCTCAAGATGGCGAAACACTCATTGCAGGCTTGTTGGGCAATGCTCCAAAAGGACAGTTAGACTCCAGTTACATTTTCATTCTCAACGCTGTTTAGATCAGCTTTTCTTGTCTATTTTGGCTACTTTACAGGTTCTGTGAAAAAGTATTTCATGGGCCTCTGTCTGTCCAAGAGCAGTGGATCACACACCTGCAAAAACACATCCTGTCGCTAGGCTACCAAGGTCAAGAGTCTCCCCCTGCTGCTCCAGTGGCTCCTCCTGGTCTCATCCATCCTGTGGCCGTGTAGTTTGAAGAGTTCTAACTCTGAAACATGCACATGTATGGGTGAATGTATTTATTTGAGGTTATGCTACTTTCACGCTCTGGCACAATGCTTTTTAAGTGATCTGTATTGTTCCAATTTTTGTGTTGTGTGTGTGTGTGTGTGTGTGTGTGTGTGTGTGTGTGTGTGTGTGTGTGTGTGTGTGTGTGTTGTGGGGGGGTGGAAGATTGTGCAACTTCGTTAGGGACCAAACCTCATGTTATGTTTCCCATGCCCACAAACTGTACCTTAAAGTGTATAATTCTTGTGTATACACCTTTTACTGTATTTTATACACCATTTTCACTGGGACAAAAGTTACATTGTACGTGTTTTAACGCAATATTGAAGAACACATCATAATGGATTATTGGTGACTTTTGAGAGTCTCTCAGAAATGTGATTTTCTATCCTTGTGATTGTCTGCAGGCATGTGGTTGTTTTGCGCAGTCTTTTTACCTATTTTTATTTACATAAAATTCTGTCTTGTTTACATGGCGCGATTTAAAGATTTTGTCATATTGTGCACAGAGAGAAAAGTTGTAAGACTTGTGCCCATTCCTGCAATCCTGTTCTTTAAAATCCATCCAACCATTTTCCAATGCGCTTATCCTCTCGAGGGTCGCGGGAGTGCCGGGCCCATCCCAGCTGTCTTCGGGCAGTAGGCAGGGGACACCCTGAACTGGTTGCCAGTCAATAGACAAACAACCATCCGCGCCATGGGACAATTTTGAGTGTTCCATCAACCTGCCACACATGTTTCTGGAATGTGGGAGGACGCTGGAGTACCCGTAGAAAACCCACGCAGGCACGGGGAGAACATGCAAACTCCACACAGAAAGGCCGGAGCCGAAATCGAACCCTGCACCTCTGCACTGTGAGGCCGATGCACTAACCAGTCGACCACTTGGCCGCCCTGTTCTGGAATATACATTTGCTATATCAGGGTTGGACCTATGTGTTGTTCATTTGTGTGTGTGGGGTGGGTGGCGGGGATAGTCACCCCCTGGTCACCCTCTGGCTGCACCACATCTAGGGGAACAGTTTGATACCTGTGACTTTCCTGCTATATTCACATGGATGCAGCTGTCTCAGATCCCTTGATACTCTGCCAAAATTTATTTGTATTAACGATACATTTTAAAGAATAAATGTTCCGTAGATCTGAACACAAACTACAAAGTCTTTCTTTGGTAAAGAATGTTTGATTCTTACAATCATTGTCAATCAAAATCATTACTTTGACACCATACACTGAAAAAAATGATGTTTGAATTACGGTACCTCATTTCAATGTGTGCTTGCACAAAATAAAATCTTCTGGATCTAGATACATTTTTTAAGTAGTTGTATACTTAAATGTATCCAGATACATTTTTAAGTACAGTAGTTGTATAGTTTACTTAAATGTATCTGCATCCAGATGATTTTATTTTGTGCAACCACCATGGGCATCCCCAAGTATTTTTTTCAATTCAGGTTGTCAGAGAAGTGTGTAGTTTTAAAAATGTATATAACCGATGGCTTTTAAGTGAGAAACTTCAAACCTGTAGCTCACTAAATATGTCCATCTCTTCTATGCCCTACATGTATTGGTTCCTGTCAAATAAAACAATAATACCCCCCCACCGATTCCAAAGTAGATAAAATGATAACGTCTGCAGCCTCCTCTAATAACAAGCAATGTGGCTCCAGTGGCCACAGTAACAATGTGGTAAATACACATTTTTATTTATCTTACTCAACCATAACACAACAAAAGTACTGCTGTCCGTGATTGCTGCATTGCTTGTACTGGATAGCTCCATTTTCACAGACAGCCTTTTTCAAATAAATCCTGAAAAGAAAAACTCTGTTTTTTTAAAATGCTTTTTGACATGAAATCCGGTGTCAGGTAACAAAAATGCTTCCGTACATATGTTATCATGTACACGAGCCGTTCATTTTTTTATAATGATCAAAAAAGGTCATTCCAAAGAAGAATTAACATATTTTCAAGCAGAGGGGTCTAACTGTAATCTTTTAGCCCCGCGAAAGTGCACGATGTGATATCATTAAAACCACGTGCACAGTCACGGTCTTTGTTCTACTGTGTTTTTTAAAGCGGCTTTCAGTGCAACTGCTATAAACTAGAGTCATTTACCCTTTTTCTACTTAAACCTCTAAAACCTCACAACTTGCGTCATGTTGAATGCAGGTCACGTAACGTACCTCTTTAAGAGATTTCCTCAATTTTTGCTCTCCATCTTGACATTGTTATCTTGGGCCTCGTACTTTGATCATTCAGCTGCAAGCCTCCACATGGTCTCTGCGGTATTGACCTAATCCTTCAAACCTTGATTGACACAATACAAATCTGAATTGCAAGGGGCTGTTTTAAATTGACCATCACTGTACTGACCAATAACGATCAAGCTGCCCTTTATCGACAAAAAGGATTCGCGCAAACATTGCCTCCACAAAAGTGAACAATCAAAAGCAGTTGGATTGTTTTTGCATTCTGGCTTCATTGCAATATGTAAAACTCTCTTCATTTGGACTTGAATCAGGAAGGTTGTTTCAATATGATCAGCAGTGGCAACGGCCACATGGTTTGAATGACCCGAGGGAGTCATTTTTCAAAATGTTCATTCTGGAATCATAATTCAGTAGAAAACAAAACATGTCAAATGTAATAAATAAAAAGGAGAAATGGAAAATCAACGAATTTGTCTTTTGTATTGATGGCAGCGTAACGATATGAGTATTCTGGAGTCGGTCTTGTTTCCGTTCCTTTTGTGTCTGTTTTACCTCCTCTTCCTGTCACCTGTATTCTTGCTCTCTCTCTGTCCCCGTTCATCGACTCCCGCCCGAACCCTCCACGCATTCTCACACACTGTCACACCCTGTTCCCACTTTGTATTCTCCCCTCTGTGTCTTTTCAGTTTTGCCCTTCAGTATGTCTTGCTAGTTGCTTCCAAATGTTCTCATTCATCAAGGTCTTTTCATTCTCAAGGTGTTGATTCGATTCCAAATGGACTGTTGCGGTTGTCTTAAAAGACAAGAGAGGCAAAGTGCCTTCTAAGACAACCAGAACAGTCCGGTTGTCATCGAATCAATATTCTTGAGAGTTTCTACTACCTGCGTCTGTAATTGATCTCGGTTTCTATCATGCATTGCCTCAACTTTTGTTACGGTTTAATCCGCGGTCTTGTGCTCTCGTCTTCAGAGATTCAAAATTTGCAATAGCTGCTGTCACATGTACTGCCGCCTAGTCATATTTGGTTCTTCACGAGTTTAATGGCCCGTTGACTGATGTGACACGGTTTTATTCCATCCGCAGAGTCAGTGAATGCTAGACTGAATCAACCAAGTAATCCAAGTGAATTCCAAAAAGAAGGTGCAGTGCTCTAGGGAGGGGGTTGATGGCTGAGCTACTCTCACTTGTCAACACTGCAGCCTGGGTAGTTGGCGACTCAGCAGTTGCCTGATTGCAGCAGGGACTCAACAGAAAAGGTAAAAACTCAACTTGATTGGGGAAAGAAACATGATGGCCCTTTCCGATGTTTGTTCCCCAAATCCACATTCACGTATGACTCACATCATGTGTTGACTGGAACAGCGAACGTGTTCATTTTTGTTTTTGTACTTCATACTGGGGACTTTGAATGTGTCACATAAACATATCAAGCCTACACAGAACCGTGATGCTTAACAGGTCTGTGCACGTTCCAAATATGGAAATCAAAGTCCTGGGAAGCAATCAAAATGTTAAAAAGCACAGTGGAGGATGGTGTTTTCAGCATATTTGTTGATATATAGATGCTTCGGGCTATTGCAGCTGCTGGACTCGCTTAATCTGTCGGACACCAAGCTGAGTTTGGCTGTGAAACAGAGGAAGACTAACCTTGTTCAAAAAAGAAACCGTTTGTGTATTTGTCTGCACGCTGCATCTCCACATGCTGTTATCGGCCTTGACAAGTAAAACAAGTGCAGAGATACAGTGAAGCAATCAACAAAAAAAACTGAACTGAATTTGAAAAACGCCCCGAATCAACCTTTACTCTCCAATATCATTTTGGGCAGTTCACGTCAGCGTAAACCACCACACACAAAGACACTCTTAATTTGCGTTCTGCTCCACCATCACAGAGAAGATGAGAAGATAGACACAAATGACCTTTTTCATGATGAATCTTGTTTTCCCCTCAAAGATTATTGGCAGCTCTGTTGCTACCGTGTAATTAATGACACGTTTCAGTAGCGGCTGGTGAACTGTAAACTGATCAGATGGGCTTTAATGCAGACTCGATACAAAGCGTGTCGGCGAAGGAGAATTGTGTACGCACTAACAACTAACAGGTCTTTCTGTGACTCATGTACTTCTCTGTGATGAGTCTACGAAAATTCTTTAACTACTATATGTCATCTTTGTCATGAGCTTTCTTTAGTTGGTAGGGGGAGTCATCTATCTGACTCTGCCCACTCGCTGTGTGATTCGATCTCTCGTCGGCATCCACAGAAGGTCAGAAAGAGCGGGAAGTGATTTTTTTTTCCCCTCCACATCATCATACCCCTGCGTGGAGGCCTTTACGGCCCGTAGCAGACAATGGTTTAGTGCCTTCTCAATTTCCATGTGAAACCTGCCTTTGACACACAACATGATCCAAAATAATCTCACTACAGATCTCACATGGGGAGCTTTGAAACAAAGTGTGCAGCCAAAAATACTCCTTACAGACACGCAGTTTGGCATTTAGGCTTCATTACAATTTTTTTTATTTTCTGTTTTCATTTCAACCCTTCACCCGTTGCTTCATTCCCTCTCTCTCCCCTCTGCTGGGATCACATTCTTCACTTCAAGGCATCACCGAGGCCCAAGGAAAACTGCACCGCAGTGCAGCACTGCATTGCTGCTCTTTTTTTTCTCCCCACACTTGACTGAAAAAAAAAAAAACATTCACACTCATGGACAATTTAGAGTTGCCAATTAATCTATTTTTTTTTAAGTTCTGTATGGAATAGTGACAAGCAGAACTCCTACAAAGACCTTGATCATGATGATGGGGTGGCAGTTGTGACCATGTCTCTTTGTTCATAACACATACCTGTCAACTCATACGGTTTAGCCATAGTTCATACGGATTTTGTGGTGAATCTTACGTATATGGCCATATCGCACAAATCATACGGATTCTTAAAATTTCCGTTTTTTTTTTTTTTTCCCCCTAACAGCTAGTTCCGTTTGCTTTTGCCCAGAATGGTGCTAGTCTACTCGAATGCTTTCATTTCCGGTAACTTTCCAGTAAATCACGTGGTTCCTAGTTGAAAACAGCAGAGTATTCATTGCATACTTCCGTAGTGTACAAGCAAGTTCTACAAGGAAACAAATATATCATTCATATTTTGTGGGGTTTTTTTCTGCCGTTATTTTGACATATAAAATGCTTTGGTATGTTATAAGGATTTTTTGCTCTTTATAAGGATTTTTTTGGTAGTTTATACAGGTTGGCG